GCCCGGCCGGGCTGCAGTCAATATTTTATAAGTCAGAATAGCATAATCATAGATGTGTAGGAAAGGATGAATGTGTGACCTTCCTAGCTTTTTATTCTATTTAAGATTTAAGTAGCAAGCTACTAGTAAATAAAACAATATTTCCTTATTAAAAAGGCAGGTAAAAAAGGCAGTTTACCATAAAACTGTCTCATGCATTTACTTTAAGGAAATACCATTTCATTTCAATTTTATATGTTGCTGAGCCAATATAAAGGGTCATTTAGAACTAATGAATGTATAAATTTTCACTAAAAACTTTTAGAATTTTTACAGTATATTATATATTATGCTCTTTTCACAACTTACACATACTTTATTTTTTCCCCCTCTCTTCTAGTGGAAAAACACTTTTCTCTGTTAAACCTATTGATGGAAACTATCATAGTGTTCAGCAGACACCTGATACAAATTATAACCCCTCCTCTTAAAAAAATTAACAGGTTAAAATACCACTGGCATATTGTTAAGATTTCATTAGCTTTTTTATTACTGAATTAAGTTGGCAGTTGTGCAAACAATGAAATAAAGAAATTGGCATTTATGATTAGGGAACAAAAGGTATCAGATATCAAAAAATTTCTGACTTGGAACCCTAAATGGAATTTTCATTGTGGTGTCGTAGGTTAAAAATGGAGGCTTGTAACTCAGCATTTTGGTGAGGTTTTTTGTTTTGTTTTGTTTTTTTGATAAATGGAGGAATGCATCTATCAAAGGGAAATTTTTATGAAGAACTAATTTTCTGATTTGCGGCTAATTCCATGTTTTAAGCATTAGAGGCTAACAGTATGCTTCTCAGATTTCAGCAGGCATGAAAATTGCCTGGAAAGTTTGGTGAAACACAGATTCTGGGGTTTGCCTCTGAAGGGATGGGGCCAACTTTTAATGAGCTCTCAGATAATGCTGATTCTACATATCTGAGGACCATATTTTGAGTTGCACTGGACTTACACATTGTGATAGTCACTCCAGAATTAGTAATTTAGAAAACACTTGGATTTATTATATGGAGAAAATCTAAAATCATAATGAAATTAAAAGTATTGGACAACCCATTGCCATAAAAATCTCAGAATTAAGAGTCCATATTTAAAACATTAGTTATCAATTAGATAATTAGTCAGTGGAAAATAGATAAATAGATACTATACCACCATTTGGCTTATTTCAAAGTATTTTTTTTTTCTTAAGGCTATTGTCATTGGTAAATTCTTGAACTTTAATTTTTCAATTATTTGTTGCTAGATTTGCTGATTTCTTAATTTTGAGTTCTTTGCTTCCAGATGACTAAATTCTTTCAATTCTAGGCAAATTCATTCCAATTTAGTACTGAAAACAAACAGAAGTTAGTTAAAATAAATGAACTTTGCAACAGTGATTTTAGTACATACCTATTCTGTTAAGACTTTCAGTATTTTCTCTGTTTGATTGGTGAGTGATTTTCTCAGAACTCTCTGTTGTTTGTATGATTTTGCCAGCATTTTCCTAATATAAGGAAGTCCATGCTATCTTCTTGTGGCTGTTTCTAGAACACAGGATATGTTAGATTTTATCTTTCATTTGATCCAGGAATGAATGAAGTAGGAATGGCTTTGAGCTCTCAGTGGTGGGAAGGTTTGGTTAGTGGGGGTCAGAGAAAAAGAAAGGCAAAGAATAAAGTAAGCCTTGACATCAGAGGAAAGTGACTTTGGTCTCTGAGAGTAATAGTGAATGCTTGAGCCTGCTTCCCATTGGAGAGCTCCGATATGGAAACAGCAGGAACGAAATTAACATTCACTTTGGAATTAGAAAATCTTGAAACCTAGTATTAGGGGTTTATTTTCTCATGTCCAATAAAGAATCACCACAGATTTTAAAGTTAAGAATATGTATAATACTGATATCATTTTATTAATAAACCTTGTAAATGAAACATCTTTAAAAAATGTGGTGTCCCTTGTATTGATTGCAGTTTTAAACTATAGACATCTCTAGACTGTGTATTATTTCTTGTGGCTGCTGAAATAAATTACCACTAACTGAGTGGCTTAAAGCAACAGAAAATTATTCTTTCACAATTCTGGAGGCTAGAAGTTCAAAATGAGTATAACTGGGCTGAAATCAAGGTGTTGGCCCTGCCACACTTCCTCTCAAGCTCTAGGGAGAGAGTCCATTTTTTGTCTCTTCCAGCTTCTGGTAGCTGCCAGTGTTCCTTGGCTTGTGGCCTGATCACTCAAGTCTTCAAAGCCAGTATTTCCAATCTTTCTCTGCACAGTCTTCACACCACCTTCTTCTCTGTGTGCCAAGTCTCCCTCTGCCTCTTTCGAATAAGAATACTTTGCATTTATCCCACCTGGATAATTTTCCTATTTCAAGATATTTAACTTAATCATATCCACAGAGACCTTTTTTGTCAAATACAGGAACCAGGAATTAGAACCTAATATTTTGAGGGGCCATTATCAGCCTACCACAGAATGTATTTGTTTGTTTGTTTTTTAGACCTTCATTTTGTTCTGGAACTTGCTGTAGGAACAGATTGGACTGAGGCTTTTATCACCCCAAATGACATACTTATTTTCTTGCTATAACTACCATTTTTTAATTGAACCGTGTATCATGGAATAAAATGTATTGCATTCAAATAGCACAACAGAATAAACCTAAAAGCCTAAGATGGTGAGTTACTTAATTAAAATAGTAGGAAAATACGAAATTGGTGGAAGAGATGGATTGCATTGTACTTTGACTCTCATGGAACTTATATATGACTGAATAAAATTTAATGATAGCTTTTAGTTTGGGGCAGCCTTGGTTTTTGTAGGGCTTGCTTGGTCAGGTTGGTGCCTGATCAGGTTCAATCTGTTCTTTCATCATATCAAGTAGACCTTCTGCAGTGGCCTATTAGAAATTGCCTATCTTTTAGTCTGTACTTTTACTGTATAGCTACTAGTTTAGAGTGGTTCCTCTGGGGCTGTAATTAATGCTTCTTACATATCGAGTTTGAGTTTTCACATGTCAGCGTATCTTAATGTGTATTAGTGGCATATTTGAGAAGTTGCACGTAATAATATTGAATTATATCAAGCATGCTACACATATCTTCACATAGTGTTAAAGGAATGGGTCAGGTAGAGAACTTTAATGTAGCCAACTCTACTTTGTTTTTGGAATATTACTTGAATATCCTAGCTCTAGGGCCTGCCTAAACCTCAGTATGGGAGTAACTTTTATGAACGTTATTTGATACATCATGGCCAAAAAGGGATTAAACAATAAAGCTGTAGTTTCCTTTTCTTCAGTCATTATATTAATTAGCTTAAATATTTAAATGTTGATAACTGATAGATTTGGCATAGGAAGAGAAATAATTTGCCAAAGGGAAAATGTAAGCCTAATTCTCTTTGTCCTGTAATCTTTCTCCCAGCATGCATGATGTTATTAGTTGTTCTGTGCAACCAAATATCACAGTTGCTTTTGCTCTGCTAGTTGAGGATATCAGCATTGGGAAGAATCAGCATGAAGACAAATTTATCGTCAAAGCCAGTAGTTGACATTATGATTAAAAACTTCCATACCTTCAGAATTCTTCATTGAGAGTTGAAGTCGTTTGACTTCATGCTACTCGCCACAGCTCACTGAGTGGTTTTAGCTTTAGCAACGTGGATAATAAATGGTACTTACATGATACTTGTAAGTTTTTCATGTTCTTCGAATGTCTGTAAAGCAGTCAATGAAAGAATTTAATTGATTGTATCATTAATTGATGAGTACATGAACTAACCAAATTAGTGTCATGAAATGTGAATATGTCCATTTGCCTGTTTTATTATAAAAACATTTAAGAAAGAGTAAGAGTTAAAGGGAAAAAACTTCTGCTAGTTCAAAGGAAATTCCTAAGATAATTTTTAAAATTAAAATTTGTTCTGTAATATATTTGATAAAACATTTAGAATAATTGCTGGTTGAAAATTCTGAACAAATACTATCAAGTAGTTCCTTATTTACTTGAGAGTGAAAAATTACTTATCTCAATGTCTGCTACTGTTACTCCCAGATTATTTAAGTGAAATGTCTCTAAATTTAGATAATGTTTCCTTCCCTGTTTGTCGAGAGACTACTGAAAAGCACATGACATATTTATTCTTTCAGAAGAACTGAGAGATAAAGAGAAGGAGTAACCACAGAGGACATAGAAAAAAGGGAAAGGGGGACAATGTAGTGAGGCACAGTAAAGCCACATCTGCAGTATCATTTGAGAATGGAATTGACACAGAACTTTCTGTTTCTGACCAAATAAAGAAATTACTGCATATTGAAAACATTCTTAAAACTTTTTTAGAAAACATATGTGAGTCTTACTAATGAATTAATTCGTATTGAAATGTTTCATTGACTTCTTCAAAGTTCTTTTCTTAGAAATCTGCCCTAGAATAACCATTTTTCAATAAAAATTGACATGTAGGTGTTTACAACTGAATTCTTCAGAGCTGAGCTAGAAGATGGAAAGTGTTTTACTTTACAGTATGGATGTATAATCTGATTTCATGAGGAAAAGCTGATCCGCCATTGTAGTGGTGTCCATAGCCCTGCACATTATACAGGAGGCTTCATTCTCCACGTAGTCTGTGTCCCTCCCTTGTTGTCCTGCTCGTCCGCCGGTACCTATTTCTGTTTGTGTTAGTCATCCTCTCTAGGTAAATTGTCCATGAGACCAGTGATTCCATCCATCAGCAAATTATCCAGAAAATGCTGTGTGCACGTTGTGACAGATCATGTCACTGATGGATTTATAGCTACTCCAGTGGTCTAATTACCCTGGCAAGTTGTCTCCTGTGCCCAACCAACACTGTTGTCTCGTTGCCTTGGCATCTTAGTTTTGCCTTCTCATTACCTTAACTAAAGCTTGGATTTACAATTTTTTTAAACTTACCCCTACTTAACCCTCTCTGTTCACCACCCTCCTTATTTTTGATTGGCAGTATCATCCGGATAAACAAAGTGCAGATGTGCCAGCAGGAACTGTGGAGGAATGCATACAGAAGTTCATCGAAATTGATCAGGCGTGGAAAATTCTAGGGAATGAAGAGACAAAGAAAGAGTATGACCTGCAGCGGCATGGTAGGTACTGGCGGTGAGGAGCCGTGGCACACTGGCGCCTCTCTGAAACACAGGCTGCAGCCATTCCTGGGAGCGTTCTCCAGCACGTGCACCGAGTTATCATTGCCTTCTTTTTTTACCTCATGCTTTTTTTTTAATTTATCTTTATTGTTGAAAATATTACAGATGTCCCCATTTTCCCCCATTAACCCTTTGTCATTGCCTTCTTTTCTGCCCCATCACTGTTTGTAATTATGCCCATTCTTAGTAGTGACTGTTGTGCATCCATTAAGAAGTTAACAAAACTAAGATGTGGCTTCTTGTGACTCTGTGAAAGCTACTTTTTATAACTAATGCAAATGTTTAATTTCACATTCCTAATTAATGTTTTATATATTTAAAAACTTATTTTTATTAAATTTAATTATGTACTGATGAAAGTTTTCATTATAGTACTTTTAGACCATATACTGTGTAAAAGACAATCTAAAGGAAGATACTATATGGGGTAACATCAAGCACCCTGCCTGCTCTGAGCTGGTTTTAGGCTGGGTTTCATAGTTATCTCTGGGATAAACTATTCCTTATAAGATTGCTATAAATGATATTTTAGGAATGAACATTTCCCAAGCAGTTTTAAAAGTCATTTCTTTGATGCATTTTAGAAAATAGCTTCTTAAAACAGTGACAGGCTCTTGTGAGAAAGAAAGGGGGAAATGTAGGTCAGGTTTGTCACACATGGACTGTGGTTACACAAAGTGATAGGCTGTCTTTCAGCACTGGCCTTGGGACAGGAGTCCCTCAGCCTTCTGTTTGAACCTTCAATATGCACCCTACATGTTAATGGGGGGGAGTCAATAATCAGTTACAGCCTGTGGGAAAACACTCAATTGCACTCTGCAGTTGCGCACCAGGCTCAGCATTGACTCGTATGTGTTGATAAAAGCTCCCTGTCTCTGTAGTTGATTATTGAACCCCTTCTGTGCCCTACACTGGCACACCATTAGACCTAACACGATGATTTTTTATACAACTCTGGTTTTGGAAATTTGATCCGAAAATGAAGACTTTATTTCTAAAACACCATTATAGAATAAAACCAGTATAAAATAAATATGGATATTTTCAGAGGGAGCTGTACCAGTAAATTAAGTATTTCTTACAGTGTGTGAGACCTTTGTGTGTAAAGTCTCCATGAGCTATTTATGTACTGGAGTGTTTGCTTTTAATAGGGACTTTCATAACACTAATCAGCTCTAAGGCCCTTCTACTTTTTTTTAAGACTAATCAGCTTTTTTTTTTTAATGTTAAGAAATTGATGAGTGTATCTTTGCAATGAATTAGGATTAATTTTCAAATATGGCTTGGATATGTTGTCCTGCTTCTATTTGGTGCATATATGAGCAGCTTTCAAAGGCTATATTTCTTTTGTAAATGTGTTTGTACTGCTGAGACAGCACAAGGGCTTGGGCCTGGGAATAGAAAATATCGGGCCGCTAGAAACCCAAGAACCGCAATACTGGTAACCCTTCTGGCAAAAGAATGCAGAGGTGCTTCCATTTGAGGATGAATTCTATCCACACATGTATCTTCTTAACCTTGGTTCACATGACACAATCTCTATGAAAGTCTTAAAGCTAAGTCTTAAGTCATAAATGTGTTGTATGTGAGAAGGTACCCATGTTCCTACCGGGACCAGGCTGTCTGGAGGTGAGTGTTCTCTCGTGGTGCTTTGGCACATCTTTAGTAGTCTTTACTCTGTGGGGTGCTGATTTGCTTAAGAGGAGGGTATTTCACAAAACTGTCCCTTAAGGAGTGTAGGGTGTGTACTGGCACAGTTGCTCTGCATTTTTACCTCTCCACAGCCTGTGTTCTATTAAGAACCTATGAGTGAAACAAACGCTTGCTCTCTTAGGAGAAAAGAGGTAGGGAGAGATGGAAAATCAAAAAATACTCTCTCTTGCTATGATATAGGGTGAGATAGACAAGAAATGGAGAGAAATCGGGAACAGTTTAAAGTGGGTAATAGAATTGCATGAAGGAAGGTTTAAAGAGATGTTGGAAGAATAAATCAGCACCTTCAAGCCTTTCTCATTGACTTTGAGAAGTCCTTGCAAATGTGGATTTCTTTTGAGCTTTGAGTCCTTGGTTTAAAGTTTTGAATGGGAGCAACTGTGGCCAGCTGTATCATAGGGGACAAGGTCATCAATAATGTCACAATGAAGTTTACACAAATCAAATACAGTGAGAGTTGGGCATGATTCATGAATCCAATAAATAGTCAGCTCTTGGGCTTGGAATTTATATTGTGTCAGTTTGCTTTGCAAGTTTTTGAGGCAGGTTGAATTGAGCTGTTCTAGAAGAATAGTAGAAATACCTCAGATTTAAGTACTAAATATTTTCTTTGTTGCTAGAGGCTCCAAGTAGTGAGAATGCTTTGTTTCAGTTTTTAATTGAGATTGGTGTGCTGTTTTGATATGAAATGGAAGTCCCCAAATATAACGTGCTGTTTTTAAGTTTCATATTAGAGCTATTTTTTAAAATCTCATAATAAACCTAGTTTTGCATTGTCATTTCTTTTAACATTAATTTTTCCTTCCTGAACCACTTTCAATAAATGGCTCCTCAAGGAAATGAACTTGAACTTCTAACAGTGAGGATTTAGATTCGATAGAAGGAAAACCTTTGAGAGTGATAATTTGTTAAGGACCAGGATAGGTTACAGAGAGAGAGAGAATTTGTTATAACCAGGTCAAAGCACTCCTTTTTTTTTCTGGGTCACCCCCTGGGGACTTGGAAATAGCTTTGTTATACAGAACTCTTTTTGCATGTGGTGATAGTTCTTTGTAGAACTTTCTTTTCTTAGGGGGTGCTTTAAATATGTTTGTTTCCTGCCCTCATTAACTGGGAGTATAAAATAAATTTGAGCTCAGTAATACTTGGGAAGGAGGCAGGGGATGTTTTATTGGCTGATGTTGAATGCATTCTCATATTTCACAGCTCATGGTGCTCTGTTGGAATGAAAGCCTCATCGATATTGCCCACAATCATTTATTTCTCTACAAGATCATGTAAAGGACCCCTTGACATTCATATTTCTTTGCTTCACAAAAGAAATTATCAAATGAGTTCTAATAAAGAAAAGTCCAGGGTAGGTAACCTGAACTAGAGTACATACATTTTTTTCTCCCTCATTTCCACTTCTGTGTTCTTACTTGACATTTCAGGGCAGTGTTGGCCAGGCTGAAGAGTAGCAAATCCAAAAAAGGATGAGTAATACTCAGTTCCCAGACAGTATACATTTCGAAAGCAATGTTAACTAGTGAATTTAATCAATTAGTTCCAGTTGGCATATTTACCTTATTGTTTCTAAGGAGGCTTCCAAAGGCTGCTTTCCGTGTGCCCTTGAAAGGCATGTAGTTATTCAAGATTGGGCTTTGCATTTTAGACAACCAGATGAACACTTTTGGAAAACCTCTCAAGATTTATAAAATGTTCACATGAATAATAACTGTTGAATAGATTTTGGTGCCTTTATAAATCTTATGGGGAGTTTTCTCATATATTAAGCACGTTAAAACACATCAGAAGTATATCATGGGAAAATAATAGGGATCGTAATTCAATAGCTTTGTAATGTGACAGTCACACAGATCTCTGTCATCTCAGTGGCTCAGTAAAGTGACACAGCTTATGAGTTAGGTTACTTCTGTGTGACCTGAAGAGGAACAAACCTTCGCATGAAGTCAATCAAATTAAATAATGTTTTGAAAAACTAAGGGAACTGTGTTTGGAATCCTTGGTGTTATATTGTTCTGTGTTAAGATGTATCTTGGTTTTCTGTTAGTGAATTATTTTGGTAATGTGGAGCCTTTACGCTACACAATTGGCCAAGTACTTGGATGCCCAAAATAGCCTGGCTCAGAAGATTGGTCTACACGTTGTAAAGTTAGTGTGTCTTTTACTCAGAGCTAACCAGCTGCTCCCCCTAGCTAGATATATAAAAAGTCATTTCTGGTGTTGTATTGTACAATTCACGCCATATCTGCAATAAGTTACATATTTGAGAATGGGTCAAATAAGGAACATATCTTAAAACCTCAGCAACATTTATGTCAGATAACTGAATCAATATCTGATTTCTTAAGTTCAAAATAAGAATCCTTCCTGAAAAGCAAGTTAATGCTAAAGACTGATTAACTCTGTAAGAAGGAAAATACTACTTGTAATTGTAGATAATACGAATTTGGGTTAACTGTTAGGAATGATTTTTGTGTAAATGATATGCTAAAACTGACCCTTCAAAATACTAGTAGTTAGATTAGGGTTTCTATTTATAGTCATTTTAGTATTTCCATTCGATTTTAGGAATTTGAAAACTGAGTATAAAAATGTGCTTGAGGTAAAACTTGAAGATAAGCATCAAGGGACATGGTCTTTTGTGTGTGGGACTGTTTCTGGGAAAAGTAAGTATGTGAAATGATGCAGAAAATCCATCCAGACAGTTAGGGATTGGCATTTTCTTCAGAGAGAGAAGAGAGTACAGATAAAACTTTCTATGAGGGTCCTCCAGCTCCATTTTGTGTGTCACAAGAAGGTGACTACTTACATTATTTTTTACTTAAATGCAAATAACTTTTTGCAATGAAAATGTATTTTGAGTAAAATTTGGCTAGTGTCAAATAATGCTCTAGAAACCTATGGGCAAAATTATAGTCATAATTCTGGTATACTTGGACATAATTGGGGGTTCTGATTTAATAATTGAAAAAAAAGGATTTTAGGAAGGTTGTCTCCAGCTTTAACCTCCCTCCCGATTTCTACTTGGCTACTTGACCCAGGTGAAGTCAGTGGGTCCAAAACCAAGACTAGGTCATTTCTCATCGCCTGTTTTCTCCCCAGACTTGAAACTGGCTCATTACACTCTGATTACTTCTACTTTACTCACTACACAGCCAGTGCATTAGAAATGCGAGTTTTAGTTGTCTTCTATGTAATCTTACTCTCACAGCTCCCACAGT